TATATATATATATATATATATAGTATGCTTACACAAAAGGGAGCTATTATTTCAAGCAGTCATGTGTTGTTTAAAACAGTCTTCAGTTAATTTCAAAGGCTTTAACCAAAGTTAGTAAGTCACTGGATCACTGTTTCCTAAAATAAGTCCATTCTAATGCCAAAAAAAAGTCCGATGTGAAAAAAGTGACTGTAGATAAAGCAAATTGTATTCCTTTTAAAATTCTACTTGTACAAGATGAGTGCAGGAAATGTAGTCAAATTTTTCTCGACAGACTGGACAAGTACAAGATGGCACACAAGCAAGCATTTTACTCAGCAGACAGTACCAATGTAGGGGCTTAAGTGCCAGTACAACCATCATTTAAAGCCCCAGGATGAAGATCATGGTCAATGAGTTCACTCCTTTAGGACAATAAAACACTTTACAATGAAGGTAAATGGTATTTGTGCAGCAGAAGGACTTCTCATCAACTAATCAAAGACTGTGAAATGAACTTGCAGATGAACTGAGAAGTATCACAAATCTCACCCCCTTTCCCTCCAACTACCTTGGGCATTTGACCCTATTTTCTCAGTCAGTATAAAGCACCTGACTTTCCCATCACATGTAAATAGCCAAAATGTAGAAAAGGTTTTGGATGAATGGGCGGAATGATGATGTAACAATATGTTTTTAGATGTGCTTTCTTTTCAAAGAGTTTCATTTTAATAAGAGACTTATCACTCTGCACATTTCTTTCATTAGTACGTCAAAGATCCTGGAATAGCATAAAAGAAAAAACAAGTATTAAGAAAAACAAAATTACCTCAGATTTCTTTTAATTTAAATCTGCATTTAGTTTCATTATACAACTTATGAATAAAACATGTACTCTGTCAGATTAGTAAAACAAATTACTTACAGTTTCTTTATCTGTTTCTGGGGGTGTAACATCTACAATCTTTCACAAGCTGTGATGGTTTCAATTTCACCAAATATTGTAATGTTTGTGAGTATGCACAAGATTACTTAAGTTCCATATAAATAGAAAAATTCTTTTATTGTTAACTAACAAGTGTCAGGTCACACAGCAATACCTTTTAAAACAAGTATTGTCATCTGTACCATGAACAGTGTGGGCTTGGTTTCTCTTGCATGGTTCATGATGGAACTCCTCAAAACAATTTACCTGTGGAAGCCCATTTTGTGCCTGGAATGGATGATTAAAATGCACGCAGCCTCCCAAGTGAGAGTGATTTTGGAGGTCATCTCTTGCAGCAAAAGCAAAAGTTTTATAGGTTTTCTCTTCTTTTTTTCTACCTCTTACTACTTCAATCGATAATCTTGAGGTCTGAAAAACAAAAATTCTCATATCAAAAAAAAAAACCAAAACCCTTCAGATGCAGAGCTTATAGATTAAAAAAATAAGAGTGCAGGAATGATTCATTTATAAAACTCATAAAATCTGCATGCATTATAATTTCATAATTTCCTTTCTTCTGCTGTCTGAAATTTCAGCTGTCACTATTGTTTTTGGCATATTTTTTGTATAAAGATAAAATAAACCCACACACATTGCTTGCAGAACAAGCCACAGAGGGCTACACAGCCACTTGGGAATTTATAGTTGGGGAACTGATGGTCCTGAAATTTGAGCTGGAGTGGGTGGCAGCAGGAACAGCACGATTACATTGCTTTAAAACACAATGTAACTTTTAGTAAAAGCAAAAACAATGGGTGCTCACTTTTCTGGTAGTAACTTTTAGCCACAAACAACGGAGGACTTAGCATTCAAATCCAGCAGCATTCAGAAAAATCAGTTTGTCAGGTTCCAAATGGACTTAAGGACTGAAGACAATGGGTACATCTACATGAGATGCTGCAATGCGTAGTAGCTTATTCTACTGCGTATGAGTGCATCATGGCAAAACCATGCTAATGCCCAGTAGAATTAGTCTACTGTGCATTAAGCATCATAAAAAAAACTATTGGCTGTTGCTACTGTGCATTAGCATGGGTTAACGTGCCTTTATGTAGTACCTCATATTGGAGCTACCAAACTTAACGTGCAGTAGCAAAGGCGCATTAATGAACGTGTAGGCGTGCCTGATGTTTGCAACAGTTAAGTGTCATCTGCAATTCACAAAAGTAAACCTGCATATACTTACAAGCATTTAATTCTCCTTAATATAAATACTAGGGGAACCAGCAAAGAAATGGAAGCTCACAGCAGAAACGACTCAAAGGATCAAGAGGGCTATAAGCAGCCACTGCAACAGTCTCGTATTTCTGCTGAGACTTCACTGCCATGCCTTGAGGACTCAGCTCCTTCCAAAAGATAGCACCGCAGTGCAAGGGCACAGATTCAGTACTGCAGTGCTTCTGCATATAAACACTGAATCCGTGAACTTCTTATACAACATTTTAAGATTATACAAATTATGATGAGGAAAGCAAAGAAAGAACAGCAGATTTTCATAAAGTCTGTATTACCAGACTTTACCATTCGTTCCATTGTCTCATGTAAATTGTATATTCTTTACATTAACCTCTGAACTTCATCTTCACTCCAAATGAAAAAACTGGGAACACAACACATGGACTTAACAAGAAGTTTTAAACAATCTGGGAGTGTTTACAACAATTTTAAAGTTGAACTGAAAGAAATCCAGGCTTTGGTGGCTACGTAATGTAATGTAAAGCCACGTCTTCCAGCGCTTTACCAGACATCACCCCCCTCCATCCCCTGAGCCTTTGGAAATGCTTCCTATTTGTTATTCAAAGTGCATCCTACACACAAACTTACGCTCGGTTTGAAACATCACCGGGTCTGCTATGTATTAAGAGGAAGATTTTTAAAAGCACTCACTCTTGGTTTAATCACTGACATAGGTAATAGTAAAAGTGGACTAATGGTGAGGGCTTTTGAAAACCCCAAGTTAATGATATTACTGATTGCATGACATAGTACAAGCTCCTTCTTATTAAATCTCTCGTTCTTTGTAGGCCAAATCATTCCCACAAGCACTGCATTTTCTTTTTTTTTTTTTTTTTTTTTTTTTTGGGGGAAAGGCTAACACTTCAGGGGAGTTTTAAAATCATGCTTTTATTAAAATATTATAG